GAACAGTAATCTAATCTAGGTCTACCTCGTTTACTCTTAACTCCTGTTTCTGCCTCTAATATGTCTTTAACTAGACCTTCATGCCTGAGAAGGTGTCCTACTAACCTATCTCCCCTATTGCTGATTGACTTCCATAGAGCCCCTCTGTTCTCCTATATTCTTTCTAATACCACTTTATTTCTAACCTCCATCCACGGTATCCTCACTTCTTTTTATTGAAGGCAACTCGACCCTGTGCTATCCTTTATATCCCTATTACTCTTTCCGACATAACTTATCTGACTTCGTAATGGTTGTGGACATTAAAAATGTCTGAAAGATGACAAAATGATATTAATAAGTTATCGTTAATCAAACAAAAATTTCTTATTTCTTTAAACAACAGTGATATTTCATTAATAGTAGGTATGTATATTTGTACCTCTTCTAATGAGAATGTATTAGTTTGTAATGTTTCATATTTTCATAGAAATATGTAACTTTCCTAATTATAGAAGTTTATAACATATTAAATAGGTAAGACAATTTTTATTTATGTCGCGCAAAAATGCATAATTTGGGTAAGGTGTGGTAAATGTTCTTTTAACCATGCACGTCTATCTGAATATATCACCTGCCACTTTAAAAATTGTCCTAAACCAACCGAATTCTCAAAATCTTTTGAGAAAAGCGTAGGTAACCTCTCAAAAGTTATGAATTTTAAATTATTTTATGATTTATATGAAAAGGCGGTTTTTGATGATGGTTGCATATTGTAATAGAATATCTATGTTCGGTTGTCAACTTCCCACTTGAAAAATAAATCGATAATGTGAACAGTTTTGTTGATTTTCTCAGTTAACACTATGACGTTTCTGTTGTATTAATCGGTGTTAGTTGAACTAGTCGGACCTTCTAAACTTTCTTGTGGCTTTTGCTTATTACTCCTGTAATTTTCATTTATATATTGAATTTTCAAATTAAATTAACTAAAGTAGGGATCTCACCTAATCATCATTTACTAATATAACAGATATTTTAAATAAAAACACTAGAAGAATTTTGACACTAATAGGAATGAACTAGTTACACCATAGGTAGAGATGTATTCGGTCATGTTTTTTTCCGTAATTTATAAACAGTAATTGTAAGGGAGAATAAGAAAATATTTAAATTGCGCGCCCTTAATCACCAATCGATTGATATAACTAGACCACCAGTGACACTATAACAATATGATAGACCGATTGGTTTATACATCTATTGTCAATTTAACATTTTTCCAGTAAAGAATGAACATTATCTAAAATAAATAGTGGCTTCTATTATCCAGGGTAATGAGAATCATTTAACATATGCATTTATTTGTTTGATTGCGAATTTGATCTAGTTTAATTTTATTAGAAAAATAACATTTAATAACTTATTAAAACTTTAAAATAGCTATAGACCTTCTACATATTCACATTCGTAGAAGAAATTGAGAGGATTTTACTACAAGTTTCTGTTTTACTTTACTGATATTATATTTGAATTACAATTGCAAGGATATTATTATTCCCAGTGCAAATTCAAAGTACATTTGGGCAGAATTTGCCTTAATATTTTGTTGTTTATGCATATTTAAGATCTAAAAGTTAAGAGAGATCCCAAAATTTGCAATCCAAACAACTACGTAAAAGTAAGTATTTCATTGACGAATTGATGTTTGGTTCATTTATCCAATATTGATTATTTACGGAGATATGTGTGTATGAGCTCTTTAATTTCGTTCAATTTTCGTTGCATTCTTGCTGCTGAGTTTACTCTTTCTTTTTTTTTACCTGAAATGATTATTTATTGCCTTTCTACTCTCATTCGACCGGACAATTCAAGAGAAAGCGGTCCGATATGAATGGGTAACAAATGGATCAGCACGAAGTGACGATCTTTGTTTTCAAAAGGGTTTCAAGCGGCTATAAAAAAGAAAGTTGTGCCTTTTTTACGACTTTAAAAGGGCAAATAGCTTTCTAACACAAAACGACCATAAATTACGAACTCCTTTTACAAAATTTAGTAAAAAACGCCAGAAATGTTTTCGTCTAAATTAGAACTGCAAAAACTCGAATGTTTATGGTATTTATTAGAGTCGATGCTTCTAAATTGTGGACAATTCTTGAAACTTTTGTAAATGAATTTGTATCACCGCACCGATAGGGTTTTCTCATTTAATTGAAAGAATATGAAATATTTCCAGTTATTCCAAAGTGCATGGCACTTATCCACATTTACTTTTAGTATGGTAAACTATATCTACTAATTGTAGAAACCATTTATTGTTGTGACTGCTGCTTTATAGACGCGTATAAACAAGTTAATTGAAACGTTACAGTTATCCTATTTCATTAGACTTGTGCTAAAACTAGAACTAGTTTAGAAAGTTGCTCGCAGCTGTTGTTATTTATTACAAGAGTGACTATTTTAGTAAGTTAAAGGGTGTACATTTTCTAAAAAAGACTTCGTACCGGTTTTTATGTTCTCTGTTGTACAATTGTACTTCGTAAAAAGCTTTTATTCCCTTCGGGAATGACGGACGTTATTCTTTCGTTTCAGGTCCAAACGGATGTCCACGAAGACGAGGTCGACAAACATACACCCGTTTCCAAACGTTGGAACTGGAAAAGGAATTCCATTTCAACCATTATCTGACCAGGCGGCGTCGCATAGAAATAGCCCACGCCCTCTGTCTCACAGAGAGACAGATCAAAATATGGTTCCAAAATCGACGGATGAAATTGAAAAAAGAACTGCGGGCCGTAAAAGAGATCAATGAACAGGCACGACGGGAGCGCGAAGAACAGGACCGGCTTAAGCAGCAGCAGCAAGAGAAACAACAGCAAAAAATGGAACAGCAGCAGCAACAGCAGCACCACTCCGCGTCACAACATCCGCAACATCATCACGACAATATGAAGATGGGTATCGAAAAGAGTGCATCTAGTAACGATCTCTTGAAAGCCGTGTCAAAAATACCCGCATAAAGAATTTTAATAAATAATTAGATCAGGTAGTAGATAAACTACCTAACGAAATGTCCAAAATACGTACTAGTTTTTAAAGAAGGCGGCAGGATAGCGACGTCAGCTATTAGAATAGTAGCGGACCGGCGTTGGATCCTTGCGGCTCGCCGTTCGAATATTGAACATGTACCTACTACTACGGCTCTTTTTGTGTTGCCTGTTGTACTTCTCTATACGTTGTAAATATTATTACTGATGTGTTCATATATTTAATTATACAATCGCTGCTGATGGTTCTGCTGTTGCGGTCGTTGAACGAAGATGAACAAGGAACATGGAGAAGGCCAGTGATGGATTCTTGGACACACCCTCCGTTTTGCACGGTGACTGTGTTTTTTGTTTATCTCGTAATCGGTTCCGTTTTGTGATTTTCAGTTGGACCATTTCGAAACTTTGTTGTTAGTTCGAACGCGCTAAATAGTGATGGATGACGATGATATAAAAGTGTCTCCTCGGCCGTCAACGCAGAAAGCATCAATTGAACGATTTTTATTACTCTTGTTTCATTTCGTTTAGTTTTTGTTTTTCGATCGAACTGTTATCGAGACGTGCTCTCTCTTCCCTTTTCGTTACTGCGGTTATTTTTTTATTTTTACTTAAAGTAACTACTCGCGACTGTGTCCGGTGGAGTAGTTGCCTTTTCCTCATGCAACTACGCCGTATTAACATATACGTAACTTGGTGTCAGGGTAGATTTTAAAGTAACCCGATCCGATTTAAAGTAAAAAGGGGCGTTCTACTGAGTGATTGCGACCTAGTCGATTCCATGAAAGAAAATTTTGTGAATTCATTTTCGTTGCCATTTTTCGACAAAGTTTAGAGAATCGTAATTTAAAATTTATAAGGGTGATCAAAGCATAAATAAGAATGAGAACTTACTTTCATGGAATTTTTGTCTAATAGGCAGTTCCTAACTCCAGGCTTCCAGGCAAAGCAATGTCAGCCCCCATCGCCATGGATGGCGGGGGTTGTAATTTATAATTTAATGTGTTCTTCAATTTTTTTTTTTAATTTCAGTTGAAGTTGCTTTGTCGATACAATGGCACTGAAATTAATTTATTTTAGGTACTTATTTATCATCTTCCTTATACAAGATCCCGCATTAATAACACCTGGAGTGTTTTAGATGTTCTTATGATTCAGTAATAACTATAACGAATCGTGTTGTCAATATTTTGCAGAATATTGACAACTACATCAGTGAATCACAAATTATGCTAACATTTCAAGTGTTATTCTAGTAAATGGGAGATTTTATATCAATGAGTGTAAACAAGCAAATGCCAATTTTTCACATCAACGTATAATTTAATAATTTACAATTTGTTTTTAGTTTGATTGTCAAGCAAACTACCGTCCTCGTCATTATCATCAGTTGTCTGTTTTCGATTTCCTTATTTGTAACTTTTAATCTACTAATGTGCTTGGTTGATGTGAAAATGGTAATGTCTCTTCCATTTTATTATTAGACAAAAAGTATACAGTTATTACGCCCGCGTTTAGTGAGAAAATCATGGTTTCATTTTATGAAAGTAAAAATAAATTAATTTATTCGATTACTTTCGATTAGTAATAGCTGAAGTTATTACTGCAGTACGCCTATCAATTACTATATACGTAAAATGGTACAATATTTTCTATGTAACCTTACATCCAGGTCGCCACTATTAATTATAGCAACAAATAATAAAAAAAAGATACCTAGTTTTATCGGTGTAAAAAGAGTTATACCTACCCAGATACATATATACATAGTACATTCGTGAATATTATTATTAAATAGTAGGCGAAGAAATATTAAGTTAAAGAAGGAAGGCCTAGGATCGATAAGATTATGAATGTGACCCCCATATGTTCGACTTTAATAAGCTTTCTAAAAAATTTTATTGCTGTTTTGAGTGTTAACAGTAGGTATTTTTTGAGGATCACAATTACTTTGTCAGGAAGACGTGAACATTTATGACATTTTTATCATATCGACATATTTCATATTAGCCAGTGGAGGCAACAGTTATTTTCTTTTAGTCCCTGATACTAATGAAGAACATATTTTAGGATCTGAGTAGTACCTTCACTCCCCGACTGGAAATTAGTTCAGTGTAGGGTCCAATCCGGATTAGAATTGCCTGAAGACTGTTCAGGGATAAATCAGACTTCCTGATCCGGATATGCTTAAAAATCATCAGACCATATATGATCCGTTTAAAAGATTCATGCCGGATCCGTTTCAAAGACCTATGCTGGATTCATTTCAAAGATCCATGCCCGATCCGGCCAAATGATCAGAATTAACTTGTTTTTACATATTAGTTTGACATTAAATAATTAAATAATAATTATTTACTCACAATATTAATAATGAATTTATTGTTTGGTAAGCAATATTACCTACCATAATCAGATAAAAAAACTGAATTCTGTATTATGATCCAGTTCAGGACATCGGATACAGTCTTGCTTTAAACAACGTACCGAAACCATAAGACAATTCGCAGTTTTAGATGATTGATCGTATAACTGGATCAAGGGATAGGCTACTGTACTTTGGTCAGAATTTGATCGAGGGATATTATACTTTGACGAATTCCTGATCAAATCATTGGACCAACGGATAGAGTACTCTACTTTGAACAGATTTTGATCAAATAGACCAATCAAGGGAAATGATACTGTATGCTGATCAGTTCCTAATCAGGTAACCAGATCATGGGATGGAGTACTGTAGTCTGATCAGGAACGGATCAGGTGACTGTGTTATGGAAAATCTGATCTGGATCTGATCATAATCCGCTTCTCTGAACTTATTTCCAGTCGCTTTTAGTAATGGAGAAATACAAACAAATTGACAAAAAATGCTAAAGATAGCCAAGTTTGATCACCAAAATAATTGTGTTCGAATGACCCTAAACGATATGAATTATAAAAATGAGTTTAAGAAACAATAAAAAAATATGAAAAAAGCTTTTTTAGAAGACTTATTAAATTCCCTGTTATGTGGGCTATTTTGGTACTGTTACCGATTCTGGCTCTTTTATTGCAAGAAGAAAAAATGTTTCGCAATGTCTCTATTTATGTTGAATTTACCGTACTGACCATTGATAACGATGTGTGATTTTTGTATTCGTAAGATTTACTTACTTGGTAAACATCATGACTAACGTCGTGAGTTTCCGTATTTTTGTTATTATTCCTGTTTAAATTTGAAGGCTGTCTGCGCGAATTTCATTCTTTATTTTGTTGCTCGATTTAAGAAAAATTTAATTCATTTCCAAATACTTTATAACTGTTAGTTGTACCTTTATAGTGGTGAATGATTGATAATTCCTTTGAAAAAGGGCCTTAAAAGTTTACCCCATATTTTACCATTAGAATTAAAAGAACAAAATTGTTTAATTGAAGGAAACTATTATATGTTTGCTTGTTGTTTTTTTAACGTAAATAAAAATGTATAAATTTGCAGATTTTGGTGAGGTTTTATTATTCTAGAAACGTTTCTTTTTTATTCAAAAAAAGTGATAATTAAATTGGTTTGTTATTAGATTTATTGTTGGTATTTAATCTTTTAAGGTCCATTTTAGAAACAACCTGCATTTCATTAATTTGTCGATTTTGCTTTTACTTAAACCGAATCGTTTAATTGGATACAGTATTTTTAGAATCTAATGTTTGCATCCTGTAGAAATATCGTGCACATTCGAATATGTAAATACTTATTGATTAACTAATGGATTGTCTGTGACAACTACACTGTAACAATTTATAAATTTAAATGAATAATAATAATAATAATTTAATAGATACGCATAGTGGAAGCCATTTCCCGTGTAGGTTTAAACTAATAGCGAGTTAAAAAATGCAGTTATTTATGTATGTAATTTGATGTAGTCTCGATACCTGTGAACTTGCCGTAAAAATAGAATAAGTTTAGATGACACTGTTACATACATACTCAAAGGGTTCCGTGTGATAGAGGTGACTGTGAATGTCATGGTTTTCCCTATTCCTTCATTCGAGTGCGCTGCCAAGAAAAAGTCAAAATTTAGTAAATTAAAATGCGAGAATTTAATTTAATAATTTATATATATCTAGGAAGAAAGAAGCTCTTTTTGTTTCGTAACATACATGCATAGTGTTTCAGTTTTTGTACTTTACTTATAAAAAATATGAATCGAAATAAAATTTGAGTTTCTTAAGGCGGTACGTAAGCTTGTAGTGGGAGTAAAAAGTGACAGTAAAATGAATCTTGTACGCCTGCGCTGTGACTCTTAGTTGTGTGCGCTTGCTCTTTCTACTTCGCGCATGTTCATTTCTCAGTAATCAGTTGTGCGCAGGTATTTTTGTCGCAGAAATGTGACATTGGTAAAATGCGCATGTGCGAATCTACCGACTGTTTTCATGAGGTATTAAAGCAAAGAAACACGACTAAACTA